TGTAGCTGAAGCAGGTCTGAGAGTTCTGCCCCAAGTTTGCTGCTGCCTGACTTAGACTGTGTGCTGAAAGTTCCTTATCTACTCCAGAGCAACAGTGTTGCCACTGAGATGGGCTGAAACTGATAATCCAGCAGGGGTCTGTGTGGAGGTGGAAATGGAACTGCTCACAGCCTGGCTGCCAAGGAATGACAGCAAGTACTTGGTGGCAGCAACACAACAGCTGTTTCAGCCGGCTCTGCAGGGCTGCCTCAGATTATACTTTAAATTAACAAGGATGTTTGGCCCGCTCCATTTGTGTGTCCTGTTGTATCCGAAAGTCAGTGTGTTTGTCATAGATACGAATATTGTTACAGTGTAGAAAACTGCGATGCTACTACTGAGCTTCTAAAACCAGAGCGTTCTTTTAAACAGAGTGCTGCTCTACGGACTGCTCTAGGCATAGAAGTTTTGCAGGACAAACATACAATGCTTATTTTAGAGACTGAGGCAATTGAAATTGCAGGCCATGACAACTTTGGCTGGCAGAAGTTCTGCCGGCTGGCAGTGTTCTCTGTCTACAACCACTCCTCAAGTTTTTTTCTCATATCCTTTCTGTTAAAGTGTGGCTGAAGTCAGAAAAGTGTTTCATGTTGACAGTTACAGCCCAGTTTGTATGTTTGTCCTCGTAAGTTTGTGTTTAAAAACATAAACCTTTATTTTCATAAATGCTGGTTGTAAATAAAGGTATTAATTTTACTTTTCAAAGCTCTCTTATGCCAAAATAGAAAGGGAGAGAATGGCTGTAGGCCTGACTGTTCTGAAGGGGGCAGGAGAAAAGAACACCTTCTGAAACTTCTGGGGTATTGTTTCATTCTTATACTGTGAATAGGTTTTGCTGCAATTTTTTGTCTAATTGATAAATCTTCCTAGTTTGGTAAAGCAGTGCCCTTAGTGAGCCAGATGGACAGGGAGCAGATGTTTGCTTCACACTAATCTGTTCAGTAGAGATGCTGGTAATTTGGCAATCTGGGAAGGATGGTCCTGGATTAACAAGTTACAAAACTGGTTCTATTTATGCACTGCTTAGGCCAGCTGGCAAATGCTGTCTCATTGCCTGGAGCTTCCCAGGTGCCCACAGTAAGAAGCTCTAAAATGGCAAATCTGACTGATGGTCAAATATGGCACCTGTTCTACAAACCAGGCTGCTGCTTTCAGTGAAGTCCAATCCAGGAAGATGGTAGTGGCAGCAGAGAGCTGTGGGTGCTGCTTCATTCCTTAGGAGGAAGTTTTTCACAGAGGGTGGTGATGCACTGGAACAGGTTGCCCAAGGAGGCTGTGGATGCCCCATCCCTGGAGGCATCCAAGGCCAGGCTGGATGTGGCTCTGGGCAGCCTGGTCTGCTGGTTGGTGACCCTGCACATAGCAGGGGGTTGGAACTGGATGGTCATTGTGGTTCTTTTCAACCCAGGCCATTCTATGAGTCTGTGCATGTATATGGCACAGCTGTACACATTAGGCGAGAGCCTCAGGAGACAGCTTGTCAATAGAATTGCTTTCTCTCTTTTGCTGTTTTATGCCCTTCTCGCACTGTAACCTTTCAACTTCTAACGTGCGTGGAGCATTTGGAGCTGAGCTCTGGTTTGCTGTGTTTGCTTAACAACTGAGATGGCTGTGGTGCTCTGGGGAAAACAGGTCGATTTCCTGCAGGTGTTCACAGAACAGCCCTGTGATGTGGAGTAGGATTGCAGGTCTGTCTGGCAGAAATGAAATGGACGGTTTGTTTTTTCCCTAGGGAAAACGGGAAAGTATAAACTATCTGCTGTAAATTCTTTTGAAAGCCTTCAGTGTTCTGAAGATGAAGTTCTGAAGACAAAACCAACAATAATAGAACTTTCAAACTGGGGAAAAAATAGATGCCTTTCTTTTGTGCCTGCCAATGCCAATGGCCTGGATTTTGTTCCAGATTTCTCCTTACATAACATGAGTGGAGATGTGTTTGACACTGCAAAGGAGACACTTCTCAGCTTCAGCGCAGGGAGGGAATTTTAGATGTGATAGTTGTTAAATTATGTATGCAGAAAGGAAAGCTTTCAACAGAACTTGTGTAAAGCATGGTGGTTCATGGGAGAGGTGCTACAGGCTGGAGTGTAGTGCTGAAATTCACCTCTGGACGTGGATTTTTTGATCCTCCTTCATCCAGGGGTGAGAGCTGCTGTATCGCATAACCTGCTGAGCTCTTTCAGTTGGATAAACTACATGGATTTTACTTACGTGACAAGAGTCCATCATTCGTACTCACATATCTTGCAAAAGCAGTGAAGCCTTTGTGATAGGATAAGACATTAATAAACTACATCTGTTAGCTCTCATGGAAGAACATTATGGAAATCCATGTATCGCAGTTCAAAGCTGGCAAGCCAGCGGTGGACAGTTGTTACAAATCAGCAATTACTGCTATCCCAGCAAGTTAAAAAATAATAATAATAATAATAATAAAAAATCAAGATGCTGAACTTTGTGATGCTGTCTTCAATACCAGTGAAAACTGTAGGTTCAATTCCTGCTTACTGTACTTAAGTCTCGTGTTGCTTGCAAATGCTACGTGAGACATAAGCGAGAAGTCTCAAGTTATGTTCTTGCTGCACGATGCCCACAGAGTGAGTTCAGCTTTAGCTCTTCTGTGGTTTGAAGAAAGGAAAAAAAACAACACTTTAAAATATCTTATTTCTGTCTCTGTGCTGACAGCTAAAGAAGACAGACCTGTTACAAAGGCTTTCATGCGAAGTAAATATTTTAGTTTATTATTTTATAGAGAGCACATACCATCACTTGCTGGGCTTTCTCTGTCCCAGGGACACGGTGAGCTAACTGTGCTGTTCTCTGTCCGTCCATTAGAGACACAGCAGGACCAGACCTACAGAGATGACAGTGATGCTGCAACTTTGAAGCAAACCCTCCCAGATCTCACCCCCGATGAGCCTTCAGAAGCACTCAGCTTCCCTCCCTTAGGAAAGGAGGAAGGGAGATGCGATGAGGATGTGTCCAAAAGCCAAACTGAATCACCTGCGGCAGCAGATAAGGAACCCCAGCCTCAGCCTGCTGAAGAACCAGCGACTCCAACAGCTGAGGAGGGGACGGCAGCTGATGCAGGTAGTGATGAATCTCCAGGAAAGTCCCCATCGAAAAAGAAAAAGAAGTTTCGCACTCCTTCCTTCCTGAAGAAGAGCAAAAAGAAGAGTGACTCCTAAAGGCCAAACACTGCAGAAACACTGTCATATTTTAAAATTCATTAACCACTAGAATGTACCAGATTGTACTGAGTGTTTTGTCTTATTATGTACATGAATGCAACAAGTAATCCAACTAGCCCCTCAAGTTATGGCTTGATCGTTTAAGGTTATAACCAGAAATTAACATCCAAAAAGGTGCTAATCCTGTGTTTTCAGCAGCTACCACCGATCTGATCCCTAATTTCTAAGCAAATATAAATGACTTCCATGTAGAGGCATTGAATCACTGTTTATACCTTAAAGCCTACACCGCTTTACGGAAGAATAAAACCAAGCTTTTGCCATTAAGAGTGCAACACAAATTGCTTACCATGAGCAGCGTTCTGTTTCAAAATTCTGCTCCAAGTCATAAGTAAATTTCTTCTTAACTGGTGACTTCTAGCGAGGATGCTTTTGCAGTGGTGTTTTCAGGGGATGTGCTCTCGAACTGACATGTAAGCTTGCAATCTTGTGATTACCGGTCAGGTAGCAGTAAAGCTTTGTGACCATCCGTTCCTTCCTCACTTTTTCCCCACTTCTGACTACAGTAACAAAATGGAAGTGTTTTTCACTTACACCTGGCGCTTGAAGCCATCCTTGTGTAGGACTGAAGTAACTGCGCCGTGTGTATTGATGGAGCCCTCTGTCCAGGGATTGCAGCTTGAGGGAAATCAGTTCTCGGCTCCCTGAGAATCTGCCAGATGGTGATGTGGCTGTTGGGTGCAGTGAAAAGGTCAGTCTGCAGTGAAGCGAAGCCCAGATGGCTGCATTTTAGGCCTTAGCACAGATTTGTTCCACCTGTTCAAAAATACCCTGGGTGCAAGTGCAGACCTGCTGCACAGAAACCCCATCTGCAGCATTTTGCAACTATTTCTTCCTGTGATAAAAATGTAAATGTGTTACACTGAGCATTGAACCTTGTTTCAATATTATTTTCACTTACAAAGAACCTCACAATTGGTATTTCTTTATTTTGTTGTTCTTGTTGCCAGCAGTAAAGGACAGGAATTCCAGCTAACCTTCTTAAGGATGTATTTTCACAGATGTTTGCTATAAATGTTTGTTTAGTACGTAGCATGGTGAAGAAACTCACTTTCACTACTGAATTAACTCTTCTCCAGTTACTGCCATGCTCTATCACTAATTGGGTAAGCAGTCTCAAGATGAGAGGTGAGGCTTGCAGGAATCCCCCAGGCGCTGTCACTCAGCCCCAGGCAGGGAAGGCCGCTCCTCGCCTCCCAGTGGCAGCATTGCTGGTTTTAAAGCAGAAACACTGAAAACTCCTGCGTGGGAGAAGGCAGCGCTTTGGCTCGCAGCGCGCAGCAAACAGGGTGGGTGTTCACTGCAGGACGACGTCGGTAGGAAGAAGAGCAGAGAACTTAATGCCTTACAATTCACGTAGTAGAAAGCATCGCAGAAGAGATGGGTTCAGCAGCTGGGGGTTAGAAAGGCCTACATTAGGCCTGGGGCGTTGGTACCTTGGGTTGGCTTCAGGCAGTGAAGGGAAAACGGCAGAAATGGCAATCAGAGCTGTAAGGCTTCAGGTGAGCAAAGAGCTTTCCAAGTAGTATTGAATGCTGTGAGGAATGGAGCTTTGCCCGTTTGGGGTACGGTGGGAACTGAAGCAGCAGTAACTCACTGTGCAGAGAGACCCCTAAACAGCAATGTTTAGTCAGGGCTGCATGGCACTAATGGCTTTCAGCTTGTACTTTAACCTTGTATGTCCTCTGTACACTAGGAAGCATACAATACTTATTTTGCTAAATTGTGTTTTATTGCAGGGTCGTAATTAAATTACTAATTGCTCTATGTTTCAGTTCAGTAATGGAGTCCCTCCATTTATCTTTGACCACATATGCAATGACTTTTAATTTCAAATTTTGTAGTTTGTTCTTTTAATTCTTTGTATTACAAATGAAATGTAGTCATGTATGGTATGGTTACACACTCTGGGGCAAATTAAAGTCCTGTATTTTTCTTTTTCTTGTATCAATTAAGTTCTACTCACAAATAAAACTCTTTAAAAAAAGCACATTCCTATTTGCTTTCAAAACTTCTACTGTTCTACAGCTGTAAACCTGAACATTTAATTAATTAGCTCCATTTTCTGTTAGTCATTTATCAATGATTTAATGTATTCTTGGAAACAATACTTAAACTTGCTCCTGCAGGGCTTCCTTCCCAGGCATTCTACCTGAGCAGTTGGCAGGAACTGGTCCCTAAAAAGCAGAAGCAGCTGAGCTCAAATAGAAGGTGGGTGTTGTGAGAAGGTGGAGGGGTCCTTCGCCTTCCCCTAAACCCCTTCCCTCCCCTGGCCTTCCAGCACAACCTCTGCTGAACCTGCCCCAGCCCTGCTGGAAGCACTGTTGGCTGCTGGAGGGTTGTGGTCCCTGCTGAGGGCTCCTGGACTCCAGTTTTGCTGTGCCAAATCATAGTAGCAGTGTTGGGTTTGCACTGATTACTGACTGGATGAGTGCACAATGTAACAGTTTATTTGTAATGCAAACGAACAGTGGTTGGTCATCAAAAAACATGCAGTACCAGAAATATAAAACAGCTCAATTTAATTTTAAGTGTAGTAAAAACAATCCATTGAAGACCAAAGTACCAGGCAGGCTCAGGAAGCCTGGAGCGTGCTGCTTGCTCATCTTTTTGGTTGTCAGGTTTTAAGGCAGTTGATACAGCTCTTACCAGCTCCACTGACAGATAACTTGTGCGGCTCTCATCACTGGCGGTGCAGCGTCCCGTGTCTGTCAGACAGCTCCTGTGCATTTGTTCTCTGCTAGCTGGAGGCAGAAGAATCCTCTTTGTGGAGGCTTTGGGCAGTGGGGTTCACCAGGCTTGTGCTGATGGCAAAGGAGATGCACAGAGAGCAGCTCCTTAGGCTGCAGTGTGGTGGCAGCAGCACTTGATGTCCAGCTGTCGTATTGGGGCACGGTGTGCAGCAGCGCTGCCGTAAGGCCGGTCTCAGCTTGCCAAGCCTCATCTGATGGTCTTCATGCTTTACTAAACTGCAGCATGTTTTGTTTTCTTTTTTTTGGTTTCATTTTCAAAACTGGCCAAGGCAGTTGTGAGGCTGTCAGCTGAAGTGTTTGTGGAGGCCATAAGAGATCTGCAGCCCGCTGTTACTGCATGTGGTCGTTGCACCTTGCTTTCCACAACATCCTCTTCTCCCAGTTTGGTCAGTGGACTCAGGTGGTGAGAATCGGGCGGTGGGGAGGTCCTTGGAAACTGGTGATAGCTCTGGTTTCTTCTTGCCTTTGCCTACTCCTCCTTTGTCTGCTGTTTGATAGAACCGAGTAAAATGAAGGGGATGAGGAAAAAAGCTCCACAGATGGTGAAGCAACTCTCTGCCCCTGCCAGCCAGTAAACTGAAAAGGAAACAGATTTTGTTATATTTAGCATAACTGTCCATGCACATGTGAACAGCACTCAGAGCTGCTGATAAAATGGAGAACACAGGTGCCAGTACAGCCATGACCACTGAATCCTTAATGCATGCTCTTGCTTGCACGTTATAAACAGGAGGTGGCTAATAGTATTGCTGGCAATAATTCTCCTCCAATATAAAACAACAGGATAAAAAACACCTATTTTAAATAGGGTGTTTTCATTTGGTATAGAAATAGGGGAAGTTCCTGTTCACTTACCCGCTTCAGTCACTGGGCAGCTCTGACTGTCCCTAGCACATGCTCCTCAGCTGCTCCTGCTCATAGCTGTCTGCTGCTCCTGAGTGTCTCATGCTGTTGCTACTGATCTGCTCCAATGTGCATAGATCTAATGCTTGGGGTTGGAGGAAAGGGCACTACACGTGCTGTGCCCTGCAGTTGTTGTGCCATCTTGGCTTTGCCGTAGTCTGAAGTTTGTCCCTTCCCTTCCAGAAGCTCACTGCCTGCACCGCAGGGCGGCTGTTTGTCCCCATGGTCAGGAAAGTGGCTCCGACCTCTCTCAGATTTAACTGAGCTCAGAGTTGAGGCTGGGACACGCTGCATGGAACAGGGGTTGTGGTTCCCCATTTCCTTCTTCCCCAGCCGGGCCGCAGGCACCTACAGTGCCTTTGTGTGTTGGCTGGAGCACACAGCCCCACTCACCCGTGGCTGACAGGACAGGTCCCAGCGCCCTCGCAAGGGCCCCCAGGCTCCTCAGGATCCCCATGACTCTTCCTTTTTGGCTGGCAGAACCTGGACAAGCAGAGGGCCATCAGTCAGCCTGGAGCTTTGATTTGCTTGGGGCAAGGACAGCGTGAAGGGCAGGGTACTGCTCTAGCTCTTGGGCCTGCTTCTTTTGGACTTATTTCCCACATGCCGTTGTTCTTCCTTTCATTTCACACTTACTGCCTGAGCCGTGCTTTTCATTCTCACCTAAGGTAAGCATTCATTAATACAAAACATCAGGACTTGTCAAGCGTGCTTGCCCACGGCCACCTTGTGACTCCCTGCTCACAAAAAATACCCCAGAAACCAAACAGACCAAAAAAACCAAGCCCACACTCCAAAACCAACAAAAAGCTTTACTCTATCTAGAAAAGCTACATTTGCTTCTCTAGATTTCAAAGCAGTTCTGGAATTGCTGAGGCAGAGCAGGTATAGGAATCCCATCACCTTACTTTTCCCCTCAGCCAGCACTGCAGTGTGGCAACCTTGCTTATGAACCAAAGCTGAAGAAAGCTGTTGTCTACAGCTGCCAACACAGCTACGTCTGTTTTGTGAGCTAATGAAGCAACCACTACCACACATCCCCATCTTCTCTGAGGAATGAAGAAGGAATGAAGGAGGAATGATTTCCCTCTTCATAACTGCAGCTGGGAGGAGGGGGACACTTCAGCCAAGCTGCCTGAGTCACTCGGCCAGCGTTTTTGTACCAGAGGTGTACCAAGGACCCGAGTTCCTGCTGCTGCATCTCAAAACTTGAGGTCAGTTCCTCATTTGAGCCCATTGTGCAGAAAGTTGAATTAAGTGACTGAGGGCTGCCCCCCAGAACGAGCACTCACCGTAGCCTGAAACCACTGCAGACAAACACGGGATAACAATGGCAGCAGCTGGAAAAATCCACAAAACAGACTGTGAACAGCAGAGTTCAGTTACCAGCAGCAGTGACAAACATGTGGTGCAAACTCGTTACTACTGCAGAGAAAAATGCTGAGCTCTGAGGCATTGTACCAACAATGAATCATAAGGTTTAATCCCGTTCAGTAATGAAAACACCCCCTCAAAGCCAACCTGCAGGAAGAGCCCAGAGCCAGGAACGCTCTGCGCAGGTGTTTCCCATTAGTGCTCCATTCCAGGAGCCCCTGGGAAAGGGGCGGCCAGGTCAGAGCAGCTAACTGGGACCATTCCAGGTCGCTGCAGAGCTTTCGGGGCAGCGGGGAGAAGGAATCGCTCACGTTTCCAACAGACTGTGAGGTGCCTGTAAGCAGAACGGCCCTGCGCCGTGCTTAAGGCTTCAGTCATGGATGAGAGCCGCAGCCACCTTCTGCCTTGGGAAATAAGAGTTAAGTCCAACTCGAAGAGGTTACAACATTTTAACAAGAGCCAAGAGCTGTGCGGCCAGCACTGCCCTCTTACTGAAACAGGGACCTTCTTCGCCAAGAGGGAAATGCTTTCAGCATACAAAGCTGAATCGTTTCTGGGAAGGAAAGGACAACTGAGAGCAGAAGGATAAACGTGTTGCTGTAACTCCTGGGGCAGGGGAGGGAGAGAGGGGAAGAAGAGGCTCTTTCTGGATGGCTGAGCTGGCATGCTGCACCCAGGCGTGTAGCTTGGAGGACCAGGCTTTTAACATAGAAGCACAGTCACACAGAATGAATACCAGCTCTCACTGAGGCTGTCAAAATCAAGGTGAGCTGCAGATAAGATCTAGATCTTGAAGCCTGTCCAACACACAGCTGCTCCTACACAAGTAAGGCACTAAGGAGATGCATTTTGTGATTGTTTACTCTTAAATCAAGCTGTATTGTGCAGAAGATGAGTCTGTCTTCCTCTTTCATAATTAGTCTTATTTGAAGCTGCTTAGCAATAGTTGCCAGTACTGGGAATATCTCATGTCTCTTTTTTATTCTTTTTTTCCCAGATACGCACTTCAGCAATGCTCCATCACAGATAAACCCAAATGATTTGTAGCTGTTTCCCTGAATAATGGAAAACATCTTTATGTTTTCATCATTTCAACATCTAAATGCTCTCTTGGTGCCTTTCCTGAGATGAGCATTCAGTGAATATTTTTCTTCTAAGATCTGCTGAAAGAGAAGGAAAAAAAACCTCAAGAGCCTCACAGTGAGATGGGACAGCAGGAGCACTGGGGATGCGTTCAGCCATCACCATGGCAACTTCCTTGGATACAAACAGCATCAGAAAACAACAGACACTATTCCTTCTAGATTTAATAAACAGAAACATCAGCTTCTGTTACATAGGTTGAAATAAGACATGCAGCTTTTTTTTTTTTAATGTGCAGAAAAAATTCCTTGTGCTTTTGAATAGCTCACCAAACGAGTACAGCAACAGTCCAGCGCTCAGCAGGGTCACATTTGCAGCCCATCCAATTAACAGGAATGCTGGAATCAACAACAAAATGGCCTGCAGAATGGAGGAGTCACAGCGTTACATGTAAGCCATCCTTGTCACAGCCTAACCCCAGCTGTGCTGCCACGTCTCTTCTGCTGATGCCTTACACTTCGACCAGAAGCAGAAAGCCCTTTCTTCCTGAATGGACATTTTAAATTTAGCTGGATGGCCACACAGTTCACCTCTCAGTTCTCTCCCTCTCACACTGCAGACAATCCATGTGCGGAAGTCACCCCTTCAGGCAGGCTGTAGTTACAGCCCATGACTGATTTTCTGCAATTGAAAAAAATCAGATCGGGCACTTCTTTGACATGATTTACTTTTTTCCCCCTCCTCATGCTGAGTTGAACAGTCCAGAAATCTCACTTTAACTCTTTACCTCCTGAGCTAAACCAAGACATGAAGAAGCTTGCAAGCAATAGGACTACAGCTCCTCAGTTTTTTCTCAGCAGAGCTGGCTGGCTCGAAGGACCACATCCTGCCCTTGAGCTTTTGGAGTCCGTACTTACGGAGCCAAGAAGAAAAAATGAGGGGAATGGCATTTGAAATGGATTCGCTACAGGAGAAACCAACATCATTTCTCTCTTCCAAGAAACAACTCCAGTTCCCCTGCCTCATATACGTAACTGATCTGGTTTTTTTTCCTATGAGAGCTAAAGGCTGCTGCACGTGTCACAACTGAATGGTGTAATTCCACTCTCGCTGAATGTCTCGTTTTGATAACTCAGTTTTAAAGCCTCTTGTAACTGCTGTGCCAAGAGAAGACGCATAAGCCATACAGTACAGGCTCGTAAAGGAATCACCAGAATTACTACAGCAAAAGGAGGAGCTCCCATACGAGCTGCTCAAGCCACATGCACCTGCAGGATGAGCATCCAGGGGCCAGCAGGTCCTGCACAGTGCACGTGTGTTTACAAACAGCCATTGGCCAGCTGAGCTAACTGATCTCAGCAAGGTACCCACACCCCTCTGTGCAGGGAAGAGGAAGGAAGGAGTACTGAAATGAGCAGGGTGAGCCTCGGCTTGCATAAACTGCAGTACAGTGGCAGCAAACACAGCGGGGTGACAGAGAGCGTAGAGGAAGCGGATGCAAAGGAGAAAGTGGTGCTAGCAGGGCTGTGCCAGCTTTCTTTCACAGGGAAATGTTTCCTCTACGACACAACGGGCATATCCTATGTTTTGCCCGCCAGGGAGCAGGATGAGGGTGGTTTCATAAGCTGAAAGAGCTTTCAAGAAAAACCAGAAAGGCATGACAGATCAGCCATGAAGCTGCTTTAGTGGTTTCAGCGTCTACACTGTAAGAGAAAACTTTGAAACAGAGCATAACCTTCGCAGCATTTTACTCAACTTGCACAGATACTGTTCACATTTCCAACTGCAGCTATCCACGAAGTTTCAGTCATAGCATAGCTGATATGCTAAGAAATGCCTCTGGGATTCCCAAGTTCAGTTAGAGCAATAGCTGCTTTTCATTCAAATCTATAAGTCATTTCAATGAAAACAGATAGATTTCTTTTGATCAGACGAGCACAGCTATAGCCTCCAACCATCTCTCGTTGCTCTTTAGACTGAAAATGGATGCATCAGATTTGTGAGTGAAAAGAAAGAAAATATTGACATATATATTTACCCTTTTTACGGCTCTGATTTCATTTCCTGGCTTTATTCGGCGAGCATAGCCTCCCTGGATCACAGCCATTGTTATTCCAATAAAGAAAAACATCTTGCCCTGCTGCATACTGGAAGGGAGGCAAAAACAGTTGACACAGTCATGCATACAGAATTCCACCCTGGGATTGGCAGGTGCAGTGCTGACCCTCTCCTGAAGGCGAGAGAGAAAATGCTTTTAGGTGTTCACACGGGCAGTGCACAGCTCTTACTACAGCTGATGTTAATTTCCATGGCTGGGAAACAGAAAGAAGGTAGCAGCTGAGATCTTATGTGGAGATGGGATGGCTGCCAGCAAGTACTGCAGTGCTCTCTTGGAGTACAACGATGGAGCCAATCTGTTACTAGGGTGGCACACAAAGAGCCAACCCTCACCCTGTGCCATGGCAGCCCCTGCTGTATGCACTGAGCTGTTGGCTTCTGAGCAGTGAGCACTTTGCTTTCTCACAACTGCTGTCACTGCTCACGTAGAGATCGACTGAGGATCAAGGCACAGGATGGGCACTGGCACAGTGCTGATCGTGGGTCACTCTGGGAGGTGTGCATTAGCACTCCCTCCACCCTCAGGTCCTTCTTCCAGTTTCACCTCTCTTAGCTACCTGACCACGTGGATATTCACAGCTGAAAGTTCTCGCCTCTATAACAAGCTTGTTTGTCACACAGCCCGTACAGTCAGCATTAAGCTGTGTATCACACTGTGTGTCTATGCTGAAAGGACTGTGCAGATGCAGGCTTAGCACACTAGAAGACCTTTCCCTGTTGCACACACATTCGTTAAGCCATAAACTGTAATGAAAGACAGACGTGGAGAGATGAAACAAAATCCTGAGAATTACTCAAACATGAGGACAAACATGAGGAATCAAGCTATAAGATCAGGTTCCTGGCTGGAAATCGTCCTATGAGCTGGCAGGAAAAGTATTTCAAGCTGAGCTTCTTTTAGTGGATTCTGTTCTCTTTCTTCTCTAGTGTCTGACTAAAGGCAATCAAATGCCATATGCAACACAGGACTCAGATGAGCAGCATAGGTCAATAGTTATCCCTTCATCCTTGGCCTTCTTGTGCTCTGATACTGAAGAACTCTTCTGGGGAGGAAGAGAAAAGCTTCTATATAAATCAATTAGTACATTCCCCCAGCTGTAGCTAATTCAGGAGCTTTAATTTAATCTTGTGTATTGACTTTCTTTTTAGGTCCTAGAAGTTATGAATTCAAAGAGTATTTCCTGTTGTGATAAATAGCATGCCTATTTTTTATTAAATTCTTCCTGCAGAGCCCAAGTGGAACTGAACGCAGTGAGTGCTTTTTGCCTATTACTAACCTCAGTGTCTCACTTGAAAATAAAAGACTTTAAATTAAGATTTTGGAAAATATCTTAAATAAAATAACCAACATTTATCTCTTATGCATACTATACCTGCTGAACTGGAATCGCTGGTGAGTAAGAAAACTCAGCGTATACTCCAATCCAGAAAACAGGAAGAGGTACAGGAAGTAAGCCAGGCCCAAGATTTTGAGGTTCTGAAGATCTAAATAAAGAAAACACCCCCCAGAAAAAGTTATGGTGGTATTGTTCAGGCACTGCTTGAAAATATAACAGCAATAGTGGAGTAACGTTTAATAACTGTACAAGGAAAAGGATCTTCACTTTAAACATCCATTCAAGATATGCCACAAAATGGTTTCTGCACATTTCCTCCCCTCTTGTGAGGGCCAAAAAACCTGATCTCTCCCTGTGTCACAGTGCTCTCACTCACCCAGTCCGGTTCCTCTGCCTCACATTTGTGCTGCTATACATCCCCTGATTTATTTCTTCTTAACCAATATCTGCAAGCAGTCTAACACCTGAATGCTGCTTTCAAGACAAGATTGGCTAAAGCAGAGCCAATGTGCCAGGTGTACCTAACAAATGCTGATTTATTTTTTATGGTTTAAATAATTCAATGAACGGAAATGTCCAGCTGAAACCCACATCTCCATACCCTGAAATAAGAAAAATCTGGCTGAAATTTCCCGCTTTGCAGCTCAGACCAGTGTACTCAAATGCCTGTGACTCACGCCTCTGTCTTTTTACAGCCCTTCACTTACTGCAGCCTACCCCAGCTAGCCCCTGCCTGAAGGACAAGGGAGCAGCAAGTCAGATGCCCTCAAAACACTGATCTCTAAAACCAGGCTGAGCACATAAATCAAGAGAGCGAGTTGTAGAACAGTTAACGAAGTGCTGCTTCCAAAACTGCATGACTAAAGTCTCTGAACAGAAACCATCTCCACATACAAAAAGTCATCCAATCCAACACAAACAGCCAGCTAATGCTTACTCTGATCTGAAGGGGCCTCCTTTCCTTGGGTGACTGCAGAGAACTGAAATAAAGCCAAAGGACTGAGCAGGTCAGCTGCTGCCTGAAACCCGGTTGTCACAGAGGAGACCTGGTCAAAGAAAGAAATTTATTTCAAAAACTGATGCACTTACTGCCACAAGGAATTGACAGGAACATTCAAAAGTGCTTTAATATATAAATAAACTACCTGAAATGAAACAATGCAACTGCTATTGAAATCTGAGTGACACACAGTAACATCCCAGACTTTCTGAACACAGAATGGTCTCCAGCACTATAACCAGAAGGCAAAGCACTGCTAGCAGCTTTCTCTGGAAAAAGAAAATAGCTTTTTCCCTGAGTTCCCTAAAAAGCAGCGTATGGGAACTGTTGATCACGGCCCAAACCTCTGATTGACCACCTGAGGCGAGCAGTGAATCAGCCACGGGAGCACAGGTGAAGGCAATTCACCTGGGCTACCAGGAAGGGAGCCTGGCTGCACCTCTCCAAGACTGCATTTAAGGGCTGACTGCCAGCAAGGAAGGATCTCTTTCTGCTGATTGCTCCTTGGGGAGCTTGCTGTGAGCCTGCAACACTGGTGAGCATTTTCCATTTGTCTTTGATTATCCTTACAGTGTGATAATCTTACTAAGCCTAATTTTTCTGTATACTTATTGACCATCTACTGCTTTATAACATTTGTATGCTTATTGATCTTAAAGCAGAAACAGCTCATTCTCCACAGCCCAAAGGTGGCTTGATTTGGTGGCTTTTCTCATCATCCCTCCTGTCCAGCAAATGCATGCTGGGTAAATACTGGCACACCTGCCTGCAAGCTCATGGGAAGGTGAGGATTTGCAGCGTGCTACAGCTGTGAGAACAGCAGGTAGCAGTGCATCAAGTGACAGCCTGTGTGGGCACTGGTGGTTCTTTTAGCCAGCCAGTGACACCTCCTGGGGAAGCAACAGAAAATACCATTTTTAGAGAGTCATTCTTCAGAGATATTTCTAGTGAGATTCTCAACAGCAGTGCTGTGTGGCTTCTTACAGGACAAAACTTATTTTGTAGTACTGCTCAGCTCAACCTCATTTTGTACCCAGCAATGCCATTCCTGTGCCTCATCAACAATTTTGGAGATGCTTATTCTTCCATCTGTTGAGAATTTAATTTTTTGTTTATTTTTATTGTTAAATATGAAATATACATACACAGAAAAAATACTCTGCAAATTCTTAAGGAAATATCTCCCTTTGAAATAGGAGAATTTAGGCTGTCACTTTGCATGACAGTCACAGGAAGAGAGACTCAAGAATCCCTACTTGTCACAGCTGGCATTGAACACCCCCAAAGCACTGCACTGGCTTTATGTGATGAGCTTCCTTCTCAGCCCAGCTGGGCAAGGCAGAAAACACTGCCCTTCAAAGGCTGAGACTAAAGGTCACATTATCAAGGGGACTTCACCTCAGTGCACAGCCTGTGGGCTTGCTCTGTAAGAAAGCTGTAAACAAATCAATCTTCAAAATGCTCTTAACTCTACCTCTGTCTTGTTTTGATGGACAGAGCTTGTGAGCATCCAGCAGCATAGCTCTGGAGCACAACAATCTCGTGACAGCAGTCAGTTCAATACAGCAGGCTGGTATTATGTAAAGCCATAAAGCTGCTGATCCACATAAGGCAAACTGGGCTATTTATTTCCCCTCCACTGTGTGTATTGCAGAGGGTAGACACTCCCAGGAAGAAGTTTCCTCGTGCTTTTATGAGGTCTGTAAGAGGATTTCCTGAAGCTGGCTTGTGACAATCCTCAGTTCCTGCATTTGTTGGCACCACAGAGTTTGTAGTGTTCCATACAGAACCCAGTAGCAGGTAAGTCTCCTCAGGAATGTCTGCTAGTATTAAAAAACATCTGCACTTTGTATGTCTTTTAATGATTGGTCATGTCAGATACAAATACGGCTACTACAAAGTTGATTTTATCTATGTAGAAATACACTTCTTCTATAATTCTCCTACCTTTGCCCTAAAGCAGTAAGTTAGAAATGACTTCATCCACTGATAAATGGAAACTTTCTCACAACTGATGAAAGCATTCTGCTCCCCCAAGCAACAAAGCACACACTGCCCATCGCTGTGAGTGTTACGTGCTGTACAGTTTAGATTCTTTGCAGGTTCAAAATCTGCAGTGTCTTAACTTGTGATTAACCTCTATGCTCATAACTTCTTCATAACTTCTGAGCAATTCCAGAATTGCTCAGTTCTATTGCATGATCACCCAAAGCACCTCGAACAGCAGGCATTTCTCACAGTGTCTGTTTGCTGCTTTCTTCCATTGCAGAGGTATTAAGGACTGTGTCCTAAAGTAACAGTGGGTCCAGATGAGGAATGCAGCCAGGGCCTTGCAGCCTTAACCTTTGAATCAGACACTGATTATCATGCATAGAAAAGAACCCTTATTTTATCTTGAATTTGCTAGTGATTCTGCATGGCCCTACATGTGGCTCTTACATGAGTAGCTGAACACCAGAGAAAAAAGACCCTCCCTTTAGCAAGCCAGCAATGCTTGCAGCTAGCTTAGCTAAAAATGACACAAAAGCTCTGAAAGGGTCCAGGTTCTACTTGGTGCATTTCCATTCAACCCTTCTATCAAGCAAGTCACAGCAGCATCTCTTCTGGCCACCTCATGTAAGTCTCTGGTCCCTTTTCACCTGAAAAACTTGAGGAATAGTGGGAAAAAGAGTAAGAAGGATAGCAAAAGCTCTTTGGATGATGTTTCATGCTTTCTCATCCTGACCCCTGTCATCTTCCTGGTTTTACAAGTTAATTCCAACGTGAATGAAAGGAAGATTTGCTCTTTTCTGGAGCAAATGGACTCAAAGGTCTTTGTGGGCTCCTTCCAGCTTGAAGTATTCTATTATTCTTCTATAAAAAGAGGACTGAGAAGAACACAGATATCATGAGAACACAGAATAAGTCAAGGAAACAGATGTGTGATCCCACTGATGCAACTTCCTACTGGTTGTCATTACCACTTCCCCCTTTTCAGAGCCATGTCATTCCAGTGCACTCCATTCTGACACTCTAGTAACACCTGCCCCACCACTGTCCAGACAAGTGCCAGAAGGCAGACAACACGCCTGCCTTTTCCTTGCCATGCAGAGTGTAAGAAAACTGCTCCTCTTGCACTCCAGGTGGGAGGACAAATCATGGTCAGCTTAGCAATTAAACACCTTGTATTTAGCATGACTGGGATTTGGCCACCTGGCCCCAGAGGGAACTGTTAATCCTCCTCCTTTAATACTTGCTGCTGCATGAAGGCACAGTCCAAAGTGCAGGAAGAGAGTATTCATTTTCTTATCATGGCTCAGTCATGTTGACTAACACAGATAGCTTACCAGTAGAACTCTCAAGAGGATAATGAAATGGGAAGAGAAGTGGTCAACAACCAGGCGGTGAGGCCCCGTGGCTGTTTCTCTCTTCAGCTAAGATGGAATTGTTACAGAACGTGACTCCACAGCACTTCCTTACAATAAATATGTTGCCATCAGCTCAGAATGTACAGCTCAAACCAACAGCAGGATTTTATTTGGAATGCTTAGAAACAGCCAAATAGGAAAGGGGAACAGATGACACATGGAAGAGCTCTAAAAACATTAATTAATTAATGAATTTCAGAAGTTGCAGTGCTTTGGAAGATACACAAGCAAACAACTTCACATCAGACACACCCTACTGGCAAACAATCAGGGAAGGTCTGAAGTTTTGCCTGGGCAGAAGCATTGCAGACAAGGTTTGTGAACAGCACTTAGTAACAACAAATTCCTTTGGCCATCGAGAGACCACGCATGATTCAGTGGGTGAGTGCTGCTTAGAAACAAGGCATGACAGGAAAGAATCGATCCAGCTGAAGACCTCCAATCAAGTGTTTCACTCAGATACCAAGGGCTGAATTCAGTCTCTCCCACACCAAAGGAGAATGTTCCAAGAGACTTTGTATCAGAGACAGAGTTTGGACAGCACCTATATGAAACCATAATGCTAACCATAATGCTAACAAGTGTTCAGCTCCACAAATGCAAAAAGTCACTGCATGTTAGCATACATAGATATTTTATCTGTGGAAGACAGAACAGCTCAGAAATAAGAGTCACTGCTACTTCAGAGCTCAAAATTACCAAGCACAGACAAGACAGCAGTTTTAAAAAATTCTAATATATACTGGGTAACAGGAAGAAGATCCACAGACTCTGATGTGTGTACTGTTATGATTGGCTGAAATTCTTCTCCAGGGAACCATTCCAATCATAGTTTAAAAATTATTCTCTCCCTCCCAGGTTCCCATTAGCTTTTGACCACAGCAATACCAGCAATTAATCATTCATGCTAATTACAAACATTTCTCATATTGCCCTGGGCTGGGAGGTGAGACCATCTTACAACCACTTTGATAATACTAAATGCTAGTCCCAGGAATGAGCTAAATTCCTGAGATGCTGGCTTAGCCCCTTCTTCACTACATCCAGTATCTCAGCAGTTCTCAAATCCTGCTTACCCGTTTTTCTTTGGGAAGTGTCTCTGGAAGCAGGAAGAAGATGAAAATCAAGTCAGCTGCAGCAAACGTGAGTGCTAATAGTGCTGAACGGAGATAGAAGACTTCTCCTTTTTCTGTCTCCATGGCTAGATAAGCTCCAATCATGGGACCCAGGGTAAAACCAAGGGAGAAAGCAACACCAATCATTGCCTGCAAAGATACAAACGGACACTGACACAAAGTTATAGACCCAGTGTGTTAAGTTAGCTCAGTTCTAAAACTAGACCCTTATTTGCCTTAAAGAAGTGTAAACATCAAATGTAACCACCTTGAGGATGTAAGGAATGCACAGCACTGAATGTGAAAAAGCTGTTATTTCCAAATATCCCATTTTATTTTCACCTTAGCAGCAAAGTGGCAGTGACAAGCTGCAGTTTGATGAAAGGATATCTAGGGATACCATTCCTTATATGATTATGAGGGAAAGAAAGTTGAGAAAGGCAAGAATGACTCTCATCTCAGGAACTGCTCAGCCAGCAGATCCTTCAGCCACAGCATAAACTTTAGTAGTGTAAAACTGTTTGGACAAGGAAGGATAGCACCGTGGTAGGAAAACACAGTGATCACAGAATCATAGAATGGCCTGGGTTGAAAAGAACCACAATGACCATCCAGTTTCAACCCCCCTGCTGTGTGCAGGGTCACCAACCAGCAGACCAGGCTGCCCAGAGCCACATCCAGCCTGACCTTGAATGCCTCCAGGGATGGGGGCATCCACAGCCTCCTTGGGCAACCTGTTCCAGTGCATCACCACCCTCTGTGTGAAAAACTTCCTCCTAATATCTAAACTAAACCTGCCCTGTCTCAGTTTAAAACCATTTCCCTTGTCCCATCACTATCCACCCTCGTATACAGCCGTTCCCCCTCCAGTACTGGAAGGCTACAATGAGGTCTCCCCAGAGACTTCACTTCCCCAAGCTAAACAAGCCCAGTTCCCTCAACCTTTCTTCATAGGAAAGGTGCTCCAGCCTTCTGATCATCTTAGTGGCCCTCCTCTGGACCTGCTCCAAGAGCTCCACAATGTCTATCACTTCTAAACTGATTTGGTAATTTTTGTATTTAGGAACATAGCAAACAATGAGAGGCTTCTCAGAACTACCTGGGTGTAATACAACAGTGCAGAATGTGTCTAACTTTCTTTAAAAGATATGCTGAGACATATGCATTCACACATGCAGGACCTAAACTTGTGCCACTCCAGGAGAGCATTTTCTTGCTTTTTTAGTCTATTTGACTTTACTTGTAGTACTAAACTAAAAGAGGTGAGATCATGCTCATGTGTCCTGTTCTGTTTCAGCCTCCTCAAGCAGCATCCTCTCAGGCAATGCTACAGCACAGTTTGGGAATAGCATCAGTCAGGACTCTTTCCAAAAAGCAGAATGAACATGCCTACTCTGCTTTGAAAAAGAAGAGAAGAAATAGTTTAGCCATATGGATGTCAGCCATGCTGTACTAAACTACTTGCTCTCGAGCCCTAAAAATAAGATGTGACCCATTTTATTTACTGGTGCTGTATGGCTGTCCTTCCCCATAAATGTATTTTTGTTCACCAGGATTATGATAAATAGTTTGGAAAATTCATTAGCTATCACTGTGAAATCCCCTCCCAAGAAGCAGCTGTCCCACACAGTGATTTATAGAGCTGTTAATAGAGGTTTGGGGCCCTGAGGCTTTTATAAAATAAAAGATCTAACTAGCAATCCACAGCCAAAGTTCAGCCTGTAGGGTGTTTCCATCTGGTCTGCTGCTGTTTAGAAGAGGAAAGGGCAGCTGTTCGTAACACTTGCTGCTCAGTCAGCCAAACACCACATCCACCACCCGCTGAGCCCAGATCCTAAAGTCAGTGCATCATCCAGTGAAGGCAGGAGGCATACTGGGCAGCGCTGCTGCACTTCCACAGATAAGAAAGCTTAGAAAAATGGGTTGTCCTGTAACTGGGCTCCTGTTACCAAAATTGGGCCATTCTGAGATGAAGGATCTTTTATTTTCTCAGCTGTTACAATCGGGATTAAAGTTATCAACAGGAGTAATAGATTTAACACTTAGGCCTGTAGTTGTTTCCACACCTAGGACACCTGCATTTCACTTGTAGGTAAAAGTCATAGACACGTAAAGGCTGAGAGCTCACCAGCAAAGTGACCTGGTATGTTTTCAAAAGCAACGTAATATTAAAGTCATGTTTTCACTTGATCAATGAACACACATCTGAGGAAGACATCCTGAGCACCTGAAATCAATTAAAAGTGAACCAATAAAGCCAAGTATTTATTTCACATGTGTTACTCACCATGCCCTTGCTCCGTGCTTTTGGAGAGCCCAAGTCAGCTATTATGGCTGTGCAGAGGCTGACATTCCCTTTGCTTATTCCACCTATCATTCTGGACAGAAGAAAAACGCCGAAAGACCGAGATGCAGCCCATAGTGCATAAGATGCTATCAAACCCATCTGCAAGTAAGAAAGGGTTTCTTATAAAGGGCAGGAAAATGTATCTTGTTTCTGCACATTTTGCTGCTCAACATTTGTTTTGTTTTGTTTTCCTGACTTTCAACAGCTGCTCCAAAAACTATACAACAGACACACATGAATATACTGATACAGGGCAATGTCCCGGAGAGCAATACAAAAGAGTAGAAACAAAGCCACAAAATCTCCATATAATTGTGAGACTACCAATAGAATAAGAAGATCAAGGAAAACTGAAGGGAGCTAAATCGTTCCAGGCATAAGACCACTTTAGTACATGCTGTTCCATTTGTTCCCAAGAGAATTTTAAGTTCAAAATAAGAGTTCTAGCCACTAAATTAATCAATCATAAACACATATACTTCTTTAGTTCAGTCTCCACAGCCCTACAGGGCAGCTGGCTTTGGATATCACTCACTGCCAAGTTCCACCATGTATGTATGCACATGCTTCTGTAACTAGAGCGCTGTACTTTGACTAGCAAGAGAGAAAACTTCCTGAAGAATGATCATTTCCATAAGAAAAGTAATATAGGACTGCCTAACCAACAAACCCCAGGCTCTCTGAAACAGGTCATGAAGTGATCAGCCCTCAGGCACTTGGGGAATTCAATATACAGGGATTACGTCTCACATTTGCAAACTGTACACCTGAAGTCAGATTCTCATACACAAAGGTAAGGAATTTTGGAAAATCCCAGAAACTGGTATTTTGGTGCCTTTTAGGTACAATTATGGATCTGGGAACTTCAGTTTAAGCAATCTGTTTTGGAAGTGTAACCAAGTGACTTGGCAGGTAGTCAACAACCACCAGATCTAGAAGACTGAAGCTCCCATCTTCTGTGCTAGCCACAGGATCATAGTGCCTTCAACTGCACAGTGAAATCACATGACTAAAACCAGTGTGAGACACATACCGCTGTCATCAAGATGACTGGCCTTCTGCCCAAGCAGTCTGATACAGCTCCAGTGAGGGGAGAGGAGAAAAACTGGAGGATGGAAAACATTGAGCCAATCAGACCTACAAAAATAAATAAAAGATAAAAATGCATATCTTCAGATGTGCTGCCTTCATCTTCAGATACCAAGTCCAACTGTCCCAGATCTATGACTCCATTATGTCCATTAAAAGCACACAATTAAATGTAGAACAGCATCTACAAAGAATAGCACACTCTCTGAAACCAAGTCACCCTCAGAACACTGATCTTCCATCGTTATTTCACTGAGGAGGCAAATCCACAGACAGACCAGAGTAATAAGGATAAGCTGGATGAGTCATTGGTTACTTCATGGGTGAGGAGTGGTTTGAAACTCACTGGTTATAATGGTACACAGATTTTCCAATGTTTTCCGAACTGACTTCATATATTTTCTGTTCCTAATGCAGAGATAATGCAGCCTTTAATAGTCATAATTCTTTTAAGAATTTTTTGATTGTTTGAACCTGATTCTGCCACTTATAATTAGCTTTCCTTCTTATCATGGAAAGAAAGACATAAGCACTGCTGTTAGAGAGACACACTAAGAGGTAGGAGTGATTCCAACAGACTCCAAGGGTCTTTTGAAATCTGCCTCCAGCTTCTGTGATCTTTAATTCCTCTTTTCTCTTGCCATCTCAAGCTTCACATACACATTAATTTGCACCACGCTCTCAACAAGCAGGCAAATAAATGCCTTGCTGTCACAATTTTTCCTCTGAAGAAAAAACTGGGCTACGCATCTCAGATCATCCTGTTATCAAAGCTAGAAAAGACTGAGGAGAGAGAGATGAGCAGTATGGTTCCCACAAAGCTTAAAGGAGGCAGAATATTGATACTGAATACCTCAGGGGGAGCAGTTCCTAACAGCTCAAAAGTCTAAAAGATTCCTATAGTTCCACACACTGGCAGTTTAAGTTAAGGAGAGAAGTTTCCTTAACTTAAGTTTAAGTTAAGGAGAGAAGCACCACAAATGCCCAGTCATGTCAAAGGAACAAGCTGGGAGCTGGAGGTGACAACACTGGCAGTACCCTTGCTAGACACACAGTGTGGACTGGGCAGAGCAGGGTTCCACAAGCAGAGTCTGTCTGGTGACATTCTGAGGCAAAACAAGTGGAAATAAGGCTGTACCTATGATACAGCTTAAGTGTGGGCCCAAGCCTGAGCTGAAATAAAGCTCCTGAGTCACTGGGCAGAAGGTGTAGGCAGCGGCTGGTCAAGGCAGTTGAGAGTTTGGCAGTCAAGGCAAGAGTCCTGACATCAGCAAGGAAGGTTTCTGCCTTGAAGAAGTTGCAGTCTCAGCAATGCTGAAAGACAACAGAATATACCCTGCACTGGGAGAAACAAGATAACCTTGCAAGTATCTTTCCAACTCTATGCTCTGTGCTGCACCAGGCAACAAGAAGATCGTGGTTGCCTCTGCTTAACATCAAAGTGTGATGAACCTTTCCACTATAACCATTTAAGGTGCAGTCAGAAAAGATGGGCTGAAAGAGCAGCTGACTACAACTAAGAAAGCCTATCCATCTTTCCCTGCTCCTGCAGCCTTGGTCAGCTCTCCAGTGAGCTAATTCAACTCAATCTGGCAGAGAGCTGATCTAGGATAAAGAAAAGACTTCTGTTGGTTTAGGAAATCAGATGGCTAAGAGGTGCTGTCAGCAAAGCCAGCAGAAGAGATGGAAACAAAAGTGGCACCCACTCTCACTGCCCGCAGCTGTCAGATAATTAGTGGACATTCCCATCATGGCCCATTACAGCTCCTGAACGCTTTTCTCCTAAACAGATAATATCAAGAGGTAAAAGCTTCCTTTCCGAGACAAACATTTTATCTGTATGTTCCCAGTTACACGTTATATTTTCTTCAGTGAACAAAAAGGTCAGGTCAGGTGGACATCTCTGGAAAGAGAAGAGAGATTTCTCCTGCCCTGTGAAAGTCACTGAGCCAAACCCAGGGATACAGCACTCCCAGGAGTGCAGGACACAGCAAGGAAAATGAAAGGCAGCAAGTTGGACATGACTGTGAGCTCCAGCCCCTTGTTTGAACACAGCCTGAGATTGTGAGGAGGAGCGAGGAGGAGAAGGCCTGGAGGCAGGCCTTAGAGGAGACAGAAAACAGTTTCTGAGGGATTAAACTGTTTCCTACCATTCAAAGCCAGTAATTGGAATGAATGTAAGCACTGGGTTTCCTGTACTACCTCTGCAGGAGCTCACCCATCTTGGAGTGTTTTAGTGACAGCAAAGGATTTTGGACCATGCAAGTCAGCAGCCCTGCTGCATTTAATAGGACTAATAAGACCTAGAAGCAGTGCTGCACTGTAGCTGCCTAGGGGAGGTGGGACTTGAACTCACAGGCTTCCAGTTCCGGTGTTTCCTACTGACTGATTTCCAATCAGTTGAGAAAGGAGAGTAATTTCTGTGACCGTGCAGGGTCTAGCACAGCATGCTTCTAACTCTCAGCTAGCAGTCCAACAGTAAGGCCTGTATTTCTGAAGCAATCTGAAGAACAAATTAGGATAATTCAGGTTAAAAGGGACCTGAAAAAAAGTCAGCTCCAGTGGCTTATAGGATCAACTCTGAGGTCAGACTGAGTCATTCACGGGTTCATCCCGTCAGAGTTTGAAAACCTCTGAGGATGGAGACCACAACACCTTCCTGGGCAGTTCATTCCACTGACCATCATCGCTGTGAAAAAGTTTCTCCTTATTTCCAGCCCGAACATCTCTTCCTTCAGACCTATGCCTTGCTGCCTCTCCAGCTACCATGCACTTCAGTAAAGAGCCTCACAGCCTTCACGTCAACCCTTCCATTATTACTGTAAGGCTGCCAGTAGCTCTAGGCTGCCTCAGCCTCTCCATCTTCACAGTCCTCTGCTGAACTCACTGCAGTTTATGGATGTCGTCTTTGTACTGAGGAGTAAGAACTGTACACAGTGCACATCATGCGTACTAACAAGTGCTGAGTGGAGGGAGATGAGCATTTCTCTCCCTCTGCTGGCTCTGCTCCTGCTCACACTGCCCAACTGCTGTTGGTGCCCTTGCTGCTGGGCACACTGCAGGCTCAGCTTGCTGCTCACCTGGACCCTGAGGACCCTTCAGCAAGGCTGCTCCCTGCCAGTCAGTGCCCAGCCCACATCAACAACAGGGACTAGCCCTTCCCGAGGGCAGGACCTCACTTTGTCTTCACTGGATTTCATAAAGTTCTTGTTGGACCATTCCTCCTGCCTGTCTAGATGCCTCCAAATGACAGAGAAGTGCTGTCCAAATAATTCATCTTTGTTAGTTTTACAAAAACAAAATCATTTTTAGTCTACTGCAAGAGATGCAAGAATGCTACTTGTGGTGACTTTTTTGTGCGTTTTTGTTTGTTTGGTTTTGGTCAATTTTTCATCATTCCTCACAACAACATTGAGGTAACTTGAAAGTGCTGCAATTTTTTTTAACTTTTATTTTTATTTTTTAATTCCATACCTCCAAACAAGACACTGTTGTATTTCCTCTCGGGAGGCATTCCAACCATTGCTGCAAACCAGTCCACACCACGTTGCAATGACAAATAGAATCCATCCTGCAAAACAGATAGCTGGGAAATAGAAGACTGTTTCTCTGCTTTATTTCCAAAGACAGCATCAGAGCTTAGTGAACTAGTCATGATGCTAAATGATCCCTCCTCTCCTTCTCCTCCCAGGGAAAATTTCCTGTTGTCATAGGCTAAAAATAGCTTAAACTGTGAATGCTAACATGGAACAGGTGACTGAGGATATGTCTTTGGGTGGGCAGATGTCTGGATTAGAATTTTTTAAACTATCGGTCCCACTGCTTCTAAAATCTAGACTAAAAATGGCATGTTTCACATTCTTCAATTAATAAAGCAGCCCGAGAGACACTCTATCCCTCTACAGATAGAGTACAGATGATCTAGACTAGGAGAGCCAGGGGTGTTAGCTCCACAGAAAAGAAGAGATGGAGCGAAAAAGAATGGTTGCTGAGATGAGGAGGAGGGCTTGAAAAGAGGGTCCTGGAAAAAAAGGTGAAAATCCTGGCTAGAAGAAATACTTTGGAAGCAGAGGAAGATCCCAGTGGTTACAGTTAGGGTTAGAGACAGAATAGGAGGAAAGACAAAGCCTACAGCTGCAGCTGGAGTGCGGCTGGAAAGGGACTGCGAGATAGAGGTGTGGGCTGCAAAAATAATTTTCCCCTGACAACTTCATCTTATCTGCTAACAAACACCTGAGAGTGAAAGCCATGAGCAGCTGCACAGCATGAAACAATATGACTTTTTGCCCTTCATTCCTAGATAGTAGTCATCTCTCCTCTAAGAACAGATGTTGAAAATAGTGAATGTGATGCTGGGGGTGGAAGAAAGTACAATCTCCTAAGAGGTGACCCAACAACCTCTCTGGGCAGCCTGTACGAGCACTCCACCACCCACTGATGTATAGATAAAACCTCCTGTGTTCCTGTTTGTGCCCACTGCCTCTTGTCCTGGCACTGGGAACCACTGAACAAAGCTTACTCTATCCTCTTTGCACTCTCCCTTCAGGTACAGGTCTTTATAGACATTGATGAAATCCCCCTGAGCTTCTTTTTCTCCAGGCTGAGCAGTCCCAGCTCTCAGCATTTCCTCATAGCAGAGGTGTGCCAGTTCCTCCCATGGTCATCTCAGAGGCTTCTGCTGGACTTTTTCTGCAAGTCCATGGCTCTTTTGTATTGGGGGAGCGCAGGGCTGGATACAGTACTCCGGTGCAGCCTCAGCAACACTGAGCTGAGCACAAGGATTATCTTTCTTCATCAGCAGTGCTTTGCCTAGAGCAGCTAAGAATACCATTAGCCTCTTGGCAGCAAGGGCAAGGCGCTGTTCCATGCTCAACTCTGCGTCCACCAGAACTGCTTTCCAGATGGGTGTCCCCTGCATGTCCTGGTGCCTGGGGCTGTTCCCCCCAGCTGCAGGCTTGGCACCTCTTGCTGAACTTCAGGAAGTTCTCATCAGCCCAGCTCTCAGCCCATTCACTCCACCCAATCCAGTCCTCAGCTACTGCTGGTGAATGAACTACGAAAACCTCTTCTTGCTGATACCACTGCTCTCAGCAGCCAGATGATAAGGGATGGATTTTGCATACAATAATGTATGATTCGATTACAGAGCACATCATGCATTTAGGCATTAGTGTCTGGCTGTTTGTTTTGATAAACAAGCCTGGGGCAAACGAATTTATCAGCTAGATACAAGTGCATCTTATACTGCAGCCAGATTTTCTATATCCGTTTTCAGAACTAAACAGCACTCAAAAGCAACACACATTATGATACACGAAAGCATTCATCTTTTAGATGAGACGAAGATCACTGCAACAATCAAACGAATAGGAAGAGCCAGGACCAGTATAAAGTAATTACAAAGGACAGCCCCCAGGAAATAACTGAATTTTCCCTCAGAACAAATCTCTAATTTCAGTGAAATAGCAAGAAAGAGGAACCTTACCTCCGTTCACAAAAAAATAAAAAATCATCACTCCACGAACAGTTTAAATGTGCTGGATGTTGTTCTGCCTACAGCTATTTGGGTTGCCCTGAAACAAAGGAATTTTATTCTATCCTCCCCTAAATGTCTCATGCCTAACATTTTGAGCAGGCTGCCTTCCTCTATTGCTTACCTCAGTCTGGCTGTAATAATCAAGGATGGAAGGAAACAATGGCAAGATGAGAGCAAATCCCAACAAGTCAATGAGGAGTGCCAGGAAGACGATCGTAATAACACGACTGCAGTTCTGCTCTTGCTTGTCATCAGCGGAGCTGCTGCTGGCTTCTCTCTCTCTCAGAGCCATGTTCCCAAGTGCTCTGATCCTAAACAATTACATTTATATCCAGTTAATAGAAAGATAGAAAGCATTTTGCAGGCCTTTCATAACAGTACTTTACTGATTCATTCTTGCTTTTTATGGGTCTCATAATAATAAACATAAGTTATGGCTATATTAAACTGCCTGGTTTTCAAAGGGAACAGGACTTCATCTCTCTAGACTTAGTTCTTAGCTCTGTACCAAACTTACCCTCACGAAAACCAAGCAACAAAGGCAATAAGATTATGAACTCTCTTAGATTAACGTCCCAAATATAGTGTAGGACTAAGGAGCATTTAAAGTTTGTTAAGCTTTACCAAATGTTTTAAACACAGCATTGCTTTAAAACAGACAAGGTGCTCTCATTTTGATTATCTGCATTCAAATAACTAATAGACTTTTTACACTTTCAGAGTACACTGTAAATGACTATGATAATATCACTTGAAAACAAAAAAAGAAAAAAAAGAAGGTAAACTTCCAAACTATTGCAGGAATGCTGCCCTCGGGACAAATCCTTACAGCTGGACAGCAGCAGATACTTCAGAAACAAGCAGTTTTTGAAAACTTCTCTTCTTAACTTCTGCCTGACGGCCACTGACAGGATACGAATTGGGGCACTAAATGACTGAGGCAGCATTTCACCCTGTCAGAATTATCAGAACTATCAGAAGGAACTCTTTCTTTGAAAACATTCCAAAACAGTGTTAAAAGCCTAAACAACGATGCAGACGTTCATTTAACAAATAAAAAAGTCAGTCCATATTCTGAAAAACTTCCACTTCAACAGACATCAAACACATGGAGCAATACAAAAAACCACGAAACTGTGAATTGCAGGTTTGTAAAACATTACAGTACATCTCAGTGATAAGACAGTGAAGCCCCATCTACTGCAAAAATCCCTGATTATTTGTTACATTAAAAGAGGAAAAAAGGAAACTATTTAATTCAGCTGAAAGTCCTTCAATACCAATAAACCCATTGGTTTTAATAAATCAGGACAGAAAACACTGAGCATATAGGATTTTTATACAAATCCTATCCTAGGCAAGACACACCGTATTCTACATACAAGTCAATGTGTATATAACATCCTGCTATACTAACTAAAGATCTAACACTTTGTTATGCTCAGTTATAAATATTTTCATGACATTTCCTTACTTGTGGATTCAATTTACCAGCACTGAAGTGTTGTTAAAGTTCAAACACCATGAGGTAACCATGGAAGGGGGCCACATGCAATCTGTTTAAGTTAGCATAGTGCATTTAAATCTGCTAGTGAGCAGAGCAGTTTGGTTGTGTTCAAGACCATGGAGTTATAGAATATCACAAGTTGGAAGGGACTTACAAGGATCATGGAGTCCACCTTCCGGCTCCACACAGGACTTCCCAAACCCAAACCCTATGTCAGAGTGCTGTCCCAACACTCCTTGAGCTCCAGCAGCTCAGGGCTGCACCCACTGCCCTGGGCAGCCCATTCCATGCCCACCACCTCTGGTGCAGACCCTTTCCCTCACCCCCAGCTGCCCTCCCCTGACACAGCTCCATGCCGTTCCCTCAGCCCTGTCGCTGTCACACAGAGCAGAGCTCAGTGCTCCCCTCTGCTCCCTATGAGGAGCTGCAGCTGCCATCAGGCCTCCCCACAGCTCCTCTGCTCTGGCCTGAACAAACCACAAGATCTCAGCTGCTCTTCACACGTCTTCCCCTCCAGACCGTTCACCATCTTTGTAGCTCCCCTTTGGAGACTAACAGTTCTACGTTCTTTTCATACTGTGGTATGCCAAACTGGACACAGTAAACTCCCAAATCTCCATCAGCAGGGTTGCCCTCCTGAGTCTCATCCCCCATTCGGTACGTAGAGCCATGGTTGTCTCTTCTCGAGGTCAGAATTTGGCACTTTAAACTTCACGCAATATCCTTTTATTTAAAATGATATGTCATCAACACTACAAATATTTAGTAGTACTTATTTACCCAAACGACTTAAAAATCTCCGGAACCCAAAGCAGCCATTTGTTCAGACATAATCCTCGGCTCTGCGTCTGCCTAGCCAAGGGATGGGTTAACCATGGCAACGTCTATCTTGTTTTTCCTAACAATTTGTGTGTTCATTCACAGAATTGAATCAACAAGCTGAACTTTACTGCAATGTTCTTTACATAGGGCGACATCCTTTACACGTAAATCACTGCCATTTCAGCTTGTGTGCAGCTTGAACCTGCTGATGCCAGCACTGACCTTTCAGGGAATGGAGTTTGGGCCACATGGCCGCTGTTTCCCTTTTGCAACCTCCAAAGCACTCCATCTTTCTGCCTTTGTGCTCCATTGCTTTTGTTGTTCCAATCTCTCCATTTTTTACTTTTTTACTTTTTTTTTTTTTGCTAGGCAGGAAACCACAAAACATTTTATTAGGCCCCGGCATCCCGTCAGCAAAAACAAAGCACTTCACCTCGACCGTAACATTTGATCTTTGTGAGTCACGGTTTAATGCAGGAAGGAGATCTGCTCCTTGGATGTTCCTCGTTCCTGATATCTCTACCACCTGATACTCCCTTACCAACCCTCTTGAAATCGCCCAGCTCTGCCTTTCACCCACCCGAGCCTCGGGGAGGCTCCTCTGAGTGTTTAACAAAGTCCTGGCTCAGGTTAAATGAGGAATTTTTTAACCAGGGAAAAAAAAAAAAAAGTATATAAAAAAATTCCCAGAGCGGCACAAAAGCAGAGGAAACCCGAGCGGGGGAAGGGGCGGCCCTTCGGAGACGCGTCGTCCTCAGCGCGGACCCGCAGTCCCGGCCGCCGCCCGGGCAGAGCCGCAGTGCCCCGCAGCGCCGCCGGGAGCCGCAGTGCCGCCGAGGCGAGGCAGCGCCCGGCCCGGCCGCCCTCCGTCTCTCTCTCCCTCCCACCCTCCGGCAGAGCCAGCCCCGCGCCAGGCCACCTACCGCTCCTCCGCCCGCCGAGAGCCGTCCCTAGGGATGCTGCGGGCGGCGGCTCCTCCCCGGCTCTCTTCGGCGCCCGGCGGCCTTCCTCTTCCGGCCGGGGATGCTGCCGGGCGCCCCGAGGAGGAGCCGCCTCCCGCCGTGCCGGGCCGGGCTGACTCCGTGAGGGAGCAACGGCCGCCCCTCAGCGCGCGCCGCCGCAGCGCCCAAACGGAGCGCCGAGCTGCTGAGGAGCGCCGCTACAGCGGCCTTCAGTCACAACTAAGGACAGCATGTTGTGATTGAAATCTTTACCTCACGCTGCAGCAGTTCCTTCTTGCGTTAACGATTTTGGAAGCGAGAGCACGGCTGTTCCAAGAGGAGAAAGACGTTCTATTATTGCTACAGTTAGCAGCGGTTAGCCAGGTTTTGGTACGCCCAGATTTCCGGCTGTCTGAACAGCAGAAAATGGCAAAGTTCCTTTAATTTCTAAAGGGACTGCTCCTAAAGCAAACTGCTCCTTCAGAACACCGAGTTTTAGAACACACAGAATGTGGATACGGTATTAATGCCACTGCCCAAAGCTGTTCTGCTGTCTGACTATTCCTGGCCTCTGCCCTGCTGGAATAGAACGCAAGTATGTGGGCACAAGCGTACTGAAGACATGCATCTTCATCATCTTAACTATGTAAGGAAATAAAGCAATATGTTTTTTAAAAGACCTTCTTGTTCCCTTCAAGGAAACGTTCCTACTGGTGATGTGGGCTTATACTTAAGAACACTTAAATGGGGACCTCACACCTGACAGTGCATTGCAGATTCCTCAATAGACAAGATTACCCAAATCTAACCTAAACGTGGCACCAAGATTAACAATTAGGTCAAACAGAAAGCTGTCTTCTCTTGCTTATGTGGGCATTCACATACCCAGTTTAGTAGGAACAAAGGAGTTTTGTACATAGCATTCAAGATAGCATATCAGAATATCACATAATGAATATTAGTACTATGCCAAATACTTGAAGACATCAAGCTCTGCCCAGCAGGAGTAGGAGCACAGTTGTTTTGCAATAAGCTTAATGTTGAGTTTGAAGCAGCCCCAGTGCCCCAACACAGCAGAAGCTGGTGGTGGAAAGCAATAGCTTACATGAAATGATGTGACTGGTAACATTGAACTGCATGCTAACTTCCAACTGGCAACCAGAAGATTGAACTTTTGATTAAAATAAATAAATAAATAAAAGAAAAAGGTTTCATACTTGCATAAATAAGGTTAACTTATGCAATTTCTTGCTGAACAGTTTTGTTCTCTCTCCCCATTCCTTTACAGTATTCATATTTAGAATGGCTGTTCTCTGGGACAGCTGATGTTGACAGGTAAACTACCTTGAACAGTCAGTTGAACTGAAGGCAGAATGGTAATTTTCCTTCTTTGTGTGTCTCATGTTGTGATTGTAGTTTCAGAATAGCTTTGGTTGTTTGGTTGCTTTTTCTTTTTCTTTTTTTTCCCCCTTAATTAGTAACAGATTTAAAATTCACAACAGATGCATCACAAAAGGCCTATTATGACAATTCCTGCTTTAAGAGCAACACTGAGACAAGAGAGTAATTGGTGAATGTGTTCAAGAAACTTGATGAGTTAATCTTGTTCATATGAAAGCCCAGAACTTCTTAGCACCTTCTGTTGTATCAGGTGGTATCACCACATCTGCCTAGCATGGAAAACAACTGGACCACGCTGATCATTAAGCTGAGGCAATCTTTCATTTCTGTGCACATAAACCACTACATGTTATGCACTACTATTATATAATGGTATATAATACTAAATCTGATATTAAACATTAACAATACCCTTTCTTAAACTGCACACAGTAATTTTCACCCAGCATCTCAAGTACTTCTGATTTCAATCTAGCAAAAACAGTTGCATGAATTTATCAGCTGAGATTTCCCTATCCTTTATCTTCTCCCCTCAGAATCTTAAGATATCCTTGCTCCTTACCTCCTCCCAATAAACGGTCTCTTCCACAAACACTACCATCCCATCTTATTCACATCTATTTTTTACTTCTCTCTTTCATGGTGGAATAATAAACAGCTGCAAGAGGTACCAAAAATTGCCGCCCCGGGATCAAAACGCAGCTGTCAGACTCTCTGTGATTTTAATACCCAGCTGTGCAAATCCTCTTGAAGCTACTTGCTGTTGGAAAATAAAGCCAGATAAACTCTAATACTTATTTGACAGTTTAATTGTGCAAAGGACAAAAACTGAAGATGGAAAATGCTGATTTATAGTATGAAATAAGAAGTTAGGTTTCTTCCTCATTGCTTCACTCTGAAGTTCTTGTCTTGAACCAAGCAGTATATATACATACATACTTTTTAAGATAACGATAATCTATCTTTTATTATTTTGGACAAAGGAAGGAAAAAAAAAACCTCCATGCTGTGCCAAATGGAAACAAAACAGGAGGCACATTGATCTGCTGAGATCTCTTTGAAGTTTCTGGAGATAGCTTTACTGATTTTGGAAAGGAGAACTGAAAATACATTTTGTTTTCAAAAGCATGAGTAGATTTCAAATACAGATACCTCGTTTGTTTGTGACAGGAGTACCTCCCCACTGGTACTCAGTATCCAGCCTGTTTTAATACTGGTATTGCTTTTGTAGACTTGATGTTCACACATTCATTACTTTGTTACAGTTGCAATGAGATTCAGTAAAAGCTACTATCTTCAAAGAAAGAATACTCTTTTAAGAAACATACATAGGTAAATCTTTAAGTCTTACCTTACAAAGATAGTTTAGCCATGAGTTTAAATTCAAAGCCGAAGAGTTTAACTCACTCCCTCCTAGTTTTAGTCATGCTTCCAGGTTTCATTTGGAAAAACAGCACAAGCAAAACTTTCTAAGACAATCTGAAACAAGAAGAACTGTAAAATCAGATTTACTTCCAGCAAACCTTTCTTCACCAACAGTAGATGTTACCATTCCTGAGTTACCCATTGGCCAGAAGAGTGCTTTCTGGTGTTTTTCTTTCTTGACGGGTTTTCATAAAGAACCCTGCCTAATTATTTCATTTGTTCTAAAGATTTTCTAGTTTGCTCTTTTCATTGATCCTCAAATGTTACTGTGATAGAGGATTTAATTTTTGTAATGCTTTCCTTCAAAACTTGTAATTTTCTTTCATGCAAAAAAACCCAACCCTGTCTCTAGATTTATCAACAGATTACAATGAATGTCTGAGTTATGACCTAGTTTAGACTAGCACCTTCAAACAACTGTAGTGTTCTTTGTTTCAATTCAATGTTTCCTCAAAGCACAGTATTTTAAAAAGAAGTATTTACTGGCTCTACTTGAAAAGCAGATATTTTCCACAGTTATGCTAGGCAGTTCACTGTAATTACACATATATGATAAAACAAATAGAATTAAAGAGGTTACTGTCAGCTTAAATCAGATGTTTACAAATATGCTGAGGAATTGTAGTTAACTGCCTTAGATAACCAAGAATTTGAGAGCTCAATTCAATCCAAAAATCACTGAAGAGATGAATGGATGCACAACTTTAATAAAGGACTTGAAAAAAGTGCTTGAAAAGCAACTCCATTACTCCACCAAAACCATGAATTAGAATGAACCAATGCTACAGAATAGTTACAGTATTACTGTTAAAGTTTCAAGAATATTACCACTATGAGAGCTGCTTGCAATTATTCAATATTAAAGAGATATCAAAAGATTTTTTGTACAATATTTGTGTGATTTGCGATAGAAATAAACACTGATAATTCTGATTACTCATCCAGATACTGTTATTAAAATAAACAGAAATACACCACACACATACAAAAGTGTTATTTTTATTTTTCTTTCACTTTTTCAGACAGATCTGATGATGTTATTTGTCTCAAAAGGAATGCATCCAAAGGATGCAATTAAAGTCTGTGCAAAAGCCATACAATCGTGGTATTTTATACACCAGTAAAACCAAACTTTCTGTGCGTAGACAGTCCCAGTTAGTTCTTCCCCTTTTTCCTTTTCATAGCTTTCCATTCACCTTCCTGTGTAGCAAGACTACCAAGAAGCTCTTTCACTTTTCGCTTTCTGGCTGAATCTCTGCAAAGGAAGCAATTAATATGTTAAATATTTCAGAAGGATTATATTAGGGAAAGTAAATAAGTACATTTAGACAATACATATTCATCTATAAGAAGCCCCACAAATCTTAGATGTCACCAAATACTTCAATTAGGAACTTTCTGCATGTTCTGATCCAGAGAAATGAAACTACAAAGTCGAAATCTAAAATGATCTCTAATGAAAATTTTCGTTTCCCCCAATGTGTCCATTTTTTTTTCAAGTTTAATACTGTTTATCATCACTTCAGTCTCCCCACACAGCAAAGAAATGAACACACAGAATAACAACTCTTAAACTACTGCTGAAGCAAAGGCTATGTTACCTCTCCATGATTTCTGAAAGCTGCATTCTAGCCAGAAACTGGTTGTCCTTCCGGATCTCACGAACGGCTCCCTTAAATTCACGTTTATGTTTGTGAATCAACCGCTTTCTTTCTTGCTCCTTTTTGCTGCCTCCCTGCTTTCTTCCAAACTCTAAACTGAAATGAAAATATGTATATGTGAACACAGAACACTGTGTGATCAACTTTAAAAATAAGGGGCTGAACATATCAGAAGAAGGGTCACCGATCAGCTGCGTATCATCACCACGCAGATTTTAAGCAGATAACATTTTCCAGAAAACAGATACACTTCAATACCCCACACAGCCTGCATTTTGTTAAACAGATTGAAAAAGCTGGAGCAGAAAAACAAAAGGTACCTGGAAAAGAGGGAATCTCCCAATATATTTTACATTTTTGCAAACTTTCTCTACAGATAAACTCTAAAAAAAAAAAAAAGGCCCAATCAGTTACAAGGGAATAAATGTGCGTGGCAGAGGAACAGCTGTCTCCTTAAATTAGAATGAGTAAGACAAGTTTTTGCCCTTGCAGATAATAAACAGGCCCAGATGAGTCAGCAGTCAATATAAATCAGACTTCCTGAATCAGAATACAGTTCTACCATCTACAAAAGGAACCAGCGCTATTTAAATTTAATTTCAAGAGAGAACATAACAATGTACATGACCATTTTATCTCTATAAAAAGAGAGAAAGAAAGCTACATGTTTTTTGTGCCTGCTGTTGTTGAAAGGCAGAAAACTGCTCATATGGGAGGAAAAAGGAATTGTGCAGCCTGGTATATTTATAAGAATGCTTAAT